CGGCCAAGCCATTTTAGACAACAATAAATCTTTCTTGCAATAGGTTATACCAATTGTTCTCGAGCTTCCTTATTGATTTCTGTCCTTCAGGCATTCTTGTCACTTCAGGAAACGTATTTAAGTCAAAGTAGAGGCGGAGGGAAATTTCAAAGGCCACGAAGAAATAAAAAACAGGCCACTCTGAATACAAACAACATAAAGCTATATATATATATATATATATATATATATATATATATATATATATATATATAGCTATAAACTTTTTATTTTATATCTATATATATGTGTGTGTTAGCGGTGGTATATTACAGACAATGGTAAGATGTCAGCTTCCACATGGCTATCTGTACGTACAGAGCTGGTGCATATGTTTCAACCACGTACAATTAGTTCTTTAGCTGTACAAACGTAGCTTCTATAATTACTTAAGGCAAAGTGTTATTAAATGGCTCGTCCTTGTTTTAACAACAATTCTAAAAAACTATAACTTAGTCTAATCACAATGATAGTTATTAGTATTATATACCTTCTATAACAGTAATTACTATTGTTATAATATAATGTGCTTTAACTCCTTGTATCGCGTCGCAATAGAGCAGGGCATCATTAAGGCTTGATCGTTTGCAATGATCTTGTAGAGATGACGGTAATATGTTCTTCTTTACAACAGTCATCCTACTGAGCCCGTTCAACGAGCGGAGAAATTACTTCAATATCGGGATGATGAGGAAGACAATATCCGTCGCCATTTCAGCAGTTTCAGAATTGCGTCTTAACACTTTTCTGTAGCCCTCACCGGGATTACTACGATACCATTGTCGCGGATTTCCGGTTTGTCGCCTAATGTGTCTGACCAACTTTGAAAAGTTATCCTGAAGAAGACGTCTGATCCCAAGAGCAAATCTGTGGCAGGCTGCAAGGTCAAACTGGAAGATTTCTCAGTCATATTATATATCTCTACAACACAGATTCAAACTTCTACAGGTGAGGTAGATTTTGGTATTGAAGTGGCTTTCGCTTTTTTTTATAGACTGGGGTATAAACAAACCATTTTTATAGATGCCCTATTATTCGTTGTTCTAT